TTTTTTTTTTTTTTCACGTTTCTCTCACTGGAAACATTCTTTCGCTTCTAGCTGGGTTTACGACATCAACGAATGAAACTACTCTTGGGAAAATTTCTTTCTTCAACTAAAAACGATTGATCATCGATTTTTTTTTCTCTTTTTTAATTTTTCTCTTTTTGTTTAGGAGTCACGATACCATATTTTTTGTTTTAGCAAGGATTTTCGACTCGAAGAACATCCTGCGTTATTGCTAATCGAGTAAAGAAGATGGTATATGGATACATGGCTGATATGAAAGTTTGATACTGGATAAAAAAAAAAAAGGAAAAACGATTCTTCGAAGACAAAAATAAGAGGGGGGAGGAAAAAAAAAAAAAAGAAAAAAAATTTGTTTCTTTCCAAAGTGTCTTAAAAATTCGTTTACGTTGGTTTACACACGAGCCTAAGTCTATATCATATTAACGAGGTCTACTTGGATTAGAAGTTATGATTCTTTCCTCTAAATAAACACGAGAGAAAGAGAGTGCCTAGAGCGAACGATGAAACGTTTATGAGTTCCGCCTTCTTCGAAATTACTAGTTTCACACAAAAATTACGAATACGAGGAAACGTGGTTTACGTTAACAACTTGCAAAGTCTTGCGAAATATTTCTTTTCTTTCTTTCTTTTTTTTTTTTTTTTTTTTTCTTTTGACTTAAAAAACTCAGCGATAAGGACGCGCTCTCCTTAGAAGGAGGATTTATCGTGAAAATTGTGACAACGCGAAAAGTCTTTCGTGTCTTTGCGAGTGAAATGGCTGCTCTCGTAAGATTTAAGATTTTCGCGTTTCCATTTTATTTTTTTTTTTTTTTTTTTTTTTTTTTTTTTTTTTTTTTTTTTGCTTTTCTTTTTCCTTTCAGGGCTCGGTGTATCCTGTAGAAATCTGGTGATTTTTAAAGAGAAGAGAAGAATGATCTCTTTTTCAAGTTCACATATTCTTTGGGAAAATGTTATATATAATATATATCTTATGCGCAAAAATAGTAGCAACTTTTTTCCCGGGACATCTCGTCGGTATAAATTATGCAGAGTAAAATCCTCGGGAAAAACCAGTGTTACGGCTGATACGAGTGAAAAACGAGCATCACGATCCAACGATTCCTCGAGATTCGACTTTAAACATCAAAGAAATCCCCCGTAAATCGAGAAATCACGCGAATTTTCGACGCTCTTTGTACAATGATCTTGCTGACGACGATCTTCGAATATTCAGATGGCACCACATATGCGACACGGAAGACTACACCAGCGGTACTTGGAGTACGATAGCCTGGCAAGGAATCGTTTAATTTAACGCGCGTTTACGAAACGTTAAAATGTATAACAGGCACCAGTAAAAGAACCAGTCCTTGGAAAGTGACTTTTTTTCCAAATCAGACTTTAAACCCGCCTCTCTCGATTACTGGCCTTTTCCGCTGTCTCAGCGAAATTTGGCTTGGTGTTTCGAAAAAAAAACATTGCTCCGTTCCACATTATTTTTTTTTCTCTTTTTTTTTTTTTTACTGAACCCAAGAAGCAGGCACCCACTGAGGCTCCCTTTCCAACGAATTGATCTCCGTCAGCAGCTGATTGTACGCTCTATCCGTATCCGTGTTTATGATGATCATGTCGAACAGATGCCCGTATTTATCCTCCATTTCCCTTGCTTTCTCTATAATATCCTTCAACTCCTCCTCCTTGAAACTCTCGTTATTCTTGATCCTTTTTTGGCGAAGTTTCTCCAAACTTGGCGGCGCGACGAATACCACGTACGGTTTCAAGTCCGAATTTCGCAATATCTTCAGACTCTGGGGATGCAGATTAAGAACACAGATTTTACCAGAGTTTACTACGGATCGTATAGCTTCGACGGAGGTGCCGTAATAGGCTTTCTCGTACTCGCCGTGTTCGACGAACTTTCGACAAAGTATATCGGATTCGAATTGAGAACGAGAAATGAAATGATAATCCTGTCCGTCCACTTCCGAGTCCTTTCTTGGACGACTCGTGTCTGGAAGAATAGGAATAGATTTTAGGTATTTTAGGCGTCGATTCGACGAAGAAAAGTAAGATTCGTAGAAAAGTAAATTATAAATGAATATACGAATATAAGCTTACGAGGAATAGCAGCCGCGAAACGCTCGCTGTCGTGCATCAGCCTCTGTCTCAGCTCATGTCGCCCGATATTTGGTGGCCCTATAAGGACTATCGGTCTTTTGTGATTCGCTCTAGGATAGTACAACGCGACTTCCTCGTAAGTAAGCACCTCCTCGCTGTCGTAATCTATAGAAATGTAAATGTTTGATCAGCAAACAATTTCTATCTGTATTGTGTATAATTCCTTCTATACCTACCGTCAATGGCAGTCGTTGCGTAATGTGGATATCCGTCGTCGTTGTAATTCGCCCCAAATTTATTCCGTTTCTTCTTCTTTGGATTCTTTCTAGCGCACAACAACGTGCTAGATTTCTTGGAACCGCGTACGGTCGATTTATCACCAGCGATAGTTTGCTTCATTGATTCTCGCCTGCGTAAGATTAAAAATAAAAAAAAGAAAGAAAGAAAAACATCAAACAACGCGTTGGAAGAACAAGGAGAGAGAGAGAGAGAGAGAGAGAGAGAGAGAGAGAGAGAGAGAGAGAGAGAGAGAGAGAGAGAGAAAGGAGGTTCACGTACTGATGCTGGAAGGCTTTGCTGGGTATCAAGCCAGCCAGAGTTTGATCCTCTTCACCCTCTCGATACGCTTGCCACCAATTAGGATCCTCTTGAGAGATCACGTGCAACACATCACCCTTCTGAAAACTGACACCCAATTCCCTGCACGGTATATAAGGATCTTCCTCGGGGTCGTAATCGAAGTGGGCCCGTATGTGTTGTATCTGGAAAACACGATACCATTTTTTAGAAAAGTCAAAAGTTGATTTCTAATAATAATTTCTTTCATTACCTGGTTCGTATCTTCCCTTCTATTCGACAAATTGTTCCTGTGACTCGTGGGTGCCGGGAGCACGAGGAAGGTTAGACTGCCCTGCATACCAGCAAGAATATCGCACACTTCGTTTACGCTTTTGCCACGCATTTCCACGCCATTCACCTCGAGAACCTCGTCCCCTTCGTGCAAAAGTCCAGACTTGTCGGCCGCACCTCCTCGCACGACACGCCCTTTGTGAAAACGTTCAAGTTAAAAAAATAGGCGAATGCGAAAATAAATCTCGAGGAACTAATCACGTTACCTATTATAACCGCATCACCCTCGTTTCTGACCGTAGCACCAAGAGGTTCGTTGGTTTTCTCGATTCTGATAATTTTTATGTTGTCCACGACACGTGAGCCTCTCCAGCTGGAAGTCGGGCTCGGTGGACCGCTCGGCGACGAGGACGAGGGGCTCTGTTTTCTCTGCAGTCCATCCACGTACGAGATGATGGAGTCGTGGGTGAGGAGGAGGGCTTCCATGTCGTAGCTCGTCAGAATTCCTGTCAGTTCCTCGACGGCGGCGATCGTTTCCGCTCCACCGACACCTGTTGCTGTCGACGAGGACTGCCATTTCTCGAGAATGTCCACACACTAGGAAAAAAAAAAAAAGAATAAAAGTTGTGTACTCAAAAAACGAGGATTCTTAAAATTTGTTAAAAGAAAGTGATGTGTACTATGCAAGTATTGTTCACCACTGAAAAGAAGTCTCGTAAAAGGAAACTATTTTCATAAATATTTTTGTTTATAACGAATATTAATATATCGATATGCGTCGAAATAATTAATAATAGTTTCGAAAATATTTCAGTCTTGGATGATTATCCTAATGTAACTTCGTAAATAAAAGTAATTTTTACGATTTTGAATATTCAACTTATACTGTTCTACTATTACGTGGTGTCAGGTTTGTAAACAAAACATCTGAAATGGAGATAGGCGGTCCTACGACCTCTCTTGCCCTTGTGCCGCAGCGACACTTTTTTTCAGTAGTGAACAATATTCATTGGTGGAGAGAAGTCTCGCAGAAAGGATCTGATTGGTTAATTTGGAAGGAACCGCCTATTTTCACACGCATTTTTGTTTCTACTATGGTATTTGTCACATATACTAATTCAAAACGACCGATCTGTATCTAAACCTCGATGCATTAGTATAAGCACAGAATCCAAAGAATTCTAACCTCTTATTTTACATCAGTATGTGTAAATTAATTAATAATTTGCAACAATAGTTTAATTTATAAATAATAATTTTGTATTCGAGTAGTTAATAATAATTATACATATACGAATATATGATATGTGAAATAATTAATAGTTTCGAAAATATTTCAATTTTTAGGCGATCATAAATGAAAATAACTTTTACGAATTTGAATATTCAAATTATAACTCTTCTGTGTGGTATTGTCAACAAAACGTGTAAAGTGAAGATAAACGATCCCAGAACGAAAAATTCTTTTCTGCGATACTTCTTTTCAACAGTGAATTTATACGTACGTCTCGTGCCAAAGTGGAGGCGTCCTCGGTGTGATGTTTCAAAACTTTGTTCGATCTTAGACGATTTCTGAGGATGTGATGGGTGGCGAGGGCAGATGCGAATCGACTTTGCACCAGAAGAGTTCGCACCGCTTCGAGTTCGGCTTCGACACCCGGCCCCGAAATGCCTAGAGCACCGGAAATATTGCGCAACTGAAGCTGTAGCCTCTCCAACGTCGCGACGACCTCTCCGTATGCTGAAATATGCAAGCAACGATAATTAGAGAGGTTCTTCAAACGTTTCAACCCCGAGGCGAGGCGTCCTCCTCCCTTTCTTTTTTCGTGCTATTCTTATGAGAAACAATACTATTTTTCTCCTATTTTAAAAATTCATCGTACAACGAACGCGATTCTTTTGATAAAACCTGCATAACACTTATATTAATACCTCACGTATAAGAGGGAAAGATGGTAAACAGAGACAGTGTGACGCGAACAAGTGGTCCTCTTCAAATCATCTAGTCCAACTCATTCATCTTTCTTCCCCGTCCAACGTACACACGAATT